TTCCAATGGAGGCTACCTGATTAATCTTGGAATCTCAATAGTAAATAGTTAATTCCATTTAAACAAAAATTGTGATTTCATTGACTAAAGAAATTAATGAAAAAATGAACACAATGACTGTATCATAATAGTGAGTCAAAATGCCCCATAACTTGGACAATTACTAACACAAACACCACTGCCATCATTCAGCAGCCCTGACAGTGGAAGAAAGACCTATGACTCCCTAAAGGCTCAGGTGATTGTTAGCATTTTTTAGCAATAGAGCATTTTAAATTAAGGTATGCAGATTGTTTTTAAAGACATCATCCTATTGCACCGTCTACAGGGTAAAAATAACTTATATGTACACAGGGAAACCAAAACATTCACATGTCTTGCTTTATTGTTATTTGCTTTATTGCAAGGTCTGGAATGGAGCCTACAGTCTCTCTCAGGTATAGCAGTACACACAGCTTCCTTTTTATTACTTTGAGAAAAAGATTCTGGTTAGTGTTCTTTACAAATAATGTCTAGGATATTGGTTTCAAATTTTGTATAAAAGCAACAACTGGACACACTAAACTAAAAGTATTCTCTCTGTTTACTTTCCAAGAATTAAATAATTATTTCTAAGTGTCTATTACCTTAATGGCCAAGAAGTTGGCAGGTTTCCTGTATTCTCATTTAAGGGGGTTGGACTCAGGCTTGAGGATGCCATGAGTATATACTCACAGTGAGGGCATCAATGCATGTGTATACATGTATGAACACATGTGTGTCTTGGAAGTGTTATTTTTCTCTGTGCTTCCTCTATAGGTAGTTTGCCTTTATAAATCCTTCCAGGATTCTAGGTTTCTGGTCCTCAGGATGATAAAGAATCAAAATACACTGCCATAACATTTTTATACCCGACAAGTCAGAGATAGTATCCTTTCCTCCCTGCCAATCTAAGACCCTCCAAACTGATTCTAATAGACCATCTTTGACAAGAGTAAGCCAGAGGTATTTAGTGATGAGTATAATAAGGTCACTGTCTGTCCACACTAATAGCCAGAGGCGGAGTGAGTCAATGAAAGGAAAACAAGGAGCCAGGAGACACTAGTGAGCTCGTTTGGAAAATACCATTTTTAGAGCTAGTTCAAGAGAGGATGAAATCTGAAATTGTTCACAGGCTGTTGAGATAGTTATTTGTGGCAGGAAGTCTCTTTTTATTTGTGGCTTCTTTAAAGAGACTTGTGTTAAGCTTTTCTTTATTTCCAATATTTTTCACTGGGCTCTGGAACATTCCTGTGATGTCAGTGGTATTGAAGACCTTTCTGCCTTTGTTCTTTTTGTGTTTAGTATATAGTCAGCTGTGTCAGCGGCTGTGACAAACAACCTCGATCTGAGTGACTGTGCACGGGTGGTGTGAATGTTTCCTTTTGGGTGGCTCCCTGGGCATTGCCTGCATGCAGTGACCTGACTTCTGGGCTCTTCCTATTGAATGACTCCACCACCTTTAGAGTCCTCTTTGCTATTTTCATGGATAGAGGATATGAGGGTATAACACCGGACACTTCAGGGGCCAGGACTAGAAGTGGAACATTCTCCCAGCCTCATTCTGTTGACTAACACTTAGTAGCCTCATGGCCAAAATTATTGTGATGAAGTCAGAAGCACAGGGTACAGGTCCCATTGTGGCAAGCAGCCAAAGGCTAATGGTAAGGAGGATTCTGAGCCCGAAGAGCCCATCTCCAAGCTCTAAAGCAGCAGTTCTCAACCTGTGGGTCTCAACCCACAGGAACTATCTTAAAGGCTCGTGGCATTAGGAAGGTTGAGAACCACTGCTCTAAAGCATAGGTCACCAACTCAGATGCCTAAAGGGCCAGGTGAGTGTTTAACTAAGTCAAGTGCTCAGGGACGGTAACGTAGGGAGTGGCGCTGACAAGGACAGCTTGCAGAGGCACACCCTGTATAACATGATAATTGATAGACTCTTGATATCCCTAGATAAGGTTAGGTTACCCTATCCCCCAAATTTTACATGTTCCCAAAGAGACCTGTATTTATCCTTTCAAGTTAAATTTTAACTTTAATTACATTATGAATTTTTTTTTAATTTCATAATATTACAGGGGTTCACACATTTTGGTTATGTATTTTGCTTTTATACGTTTTAAATTAAGGTTATAAGTGTCCCCTGCACCCAGAATATATGCATTACACCCATTGGGTGTGAATTTACACTATCCCCCGAACCCCCTTCTACCTACGTTATGACTTTTTTAAATGCCTCCCTTCTAGACAATAGCAATTGTTAACTCTTGACTACTTATCTTGTTTAGCACCTTTCTAATTGTTCCTGGACAATGTCTAGCAGAGTCCTCACAGAATCCCCGGTGTATTTGTGAATCAGTGAATGAATATTGTATGAGTAAATGAATGAGTGATTCGACCAGTCCTTAGCTCACTAAGTCACCCTCACCTAGGAGGGCACTGCATGTTTTTATGTTACAAATCATTATAACATATTTTGACTGCTAGATAGAGTGACTCCAGAATTTATAAAGACAAAACTGGGCCTTTGGGAATTCCCCACCACTACCACCCTCTGTGAGGGTCAGCAGCTGGGAAAGATTTCTTTTTCCTTAAGGAATCCTGCACAGACTCTGCCAAGTAATGAGGGCAGAGACGGAGCCATAGACCAGCAAAGACAAGAGCGCAAGTCAGCCACAAAGCCGTGCCCCTCCTCCCTGACTGCGCTCACTCTCGGGCCTTGATTTCTGTGTTTGGTCTCCTGGGAGAAATTTTGTCTCCCTTCTTTGTAGCAGAGGGATGATCAGTGTTCTGGTCTGAATTCTGAGGGCAGAATTAGCCAATTAGAAGGTTAGTGTGTAATTGTAGGCACTAGGTGCCTGGAGGCGACCCTTGACCATTTGCTGCTTTACTAAATTAGCATTGGCCAGTAATAGATTTTCTGCTTGCAAAATTACTGGCAAATTATTCTGAGACCTGAATCTGCATTCCCTGTGCATGCCACTTGGGATGCCAGCATTGTAACTGCTTCAGAAGTGATTTAACCAGAGCCTGTTCTCCAGGCAAAGGGAAGTTCACATGTGGGGCAGCACAGATGCCAAGCTACAGCATCATTCCCCCTTTGATTTGAGGGAGATGATGTCAGTCAGGGTGATGACTCTCCTATTTCAATTTCTCTGAAGCTGCTCTGGCTGGCCACACCGTGAACCTCCCGAGATTACTTCTTGCTCTCCTTCCTCGGGGTTCAGTGCATTTCAGAGGGCTGGCATTTAGAGACAAGGCCCAGCTCCACGGCTTCCAACCTTTTGTACACCACTTTGAGTTTGCTGGTGAGGATGATAATGAATTTTCCTCAACTGCCTGTGTGCAGAGGGTAGAAGTGTGGGGTATTGGATTAAAGCCCCTTTTTCTAAAAACAGAGTTGAGGATTTGAGTGCGAGTAGTTTATTTGGGGGATAAATACCAGTAGGGAATGAGGAAAGGAGCCACAGAAGAGAGGGCAGCTAATGAGGGTCAGCTATCAAGCCAGATGCCACTCTGGACAAGGGAGCTCAATCCAGGTAGAAAAGAGTAGCAGGACACACCCCTCCGAGTCGTCTCACCTGAGCAGTCGGGAATTTACACACCACTTCCCAGTGGTTATTGGGCGAAGGCTGCTCCTGGTGATGCTAAGTTCCAAACACTCTCTACTGGCACGACATTTGCTACAACTTTGAGAGTAATATCTTAGGACACGACATGAGAAGTCTTGCCCTTTAATGTGGAAGGTCCGAGAAGAATGAGCAGAGTTGTGACAGTGGCCAAATCATCAGACACGTGAACCTGGATTTGAATTCTGACTCTACCTGTCCTAACCGTAAGGTCTTAGATAAACTTGTTAACCTTTCTAAAATTTCAGGCCCATCTTCGGTGAAACACATCTTATAATACTTACAGGGCTGGTGCGATTAAATGAGAGTATGCACACAGTAGGTCAGCACAAGGGTGGCCATATGATAAGGGCTCAGAGACATTTGCTTTTAGTTGTCACATGTTATGGAGCATCTATCCCAGTGTGTGGCAGGTGCTCTATAGAAACAAGTAGGGAAGGGGCAATCCCTGTCTTCCCAGGGCGTAAAGTCTTGGCCTAGCAAATTTTAAGACCATTTCTTAATTTCACTAAGTTATAGCTTACCCAGAAGGTGTCACATACTTGTATGTTCCAAAGCATCTAATTTAATTTTCGACCACTGGAGGAACTCTCCTAAGAATTTTCAAGGCTTGCTAAACAATGGTAGGTTTTGAATTTTCTTGTAGCCAAATTTATAAAAGGAACAAGGAACTGGTAAAAATTGATTTTACTATCACTTGTGTTTTGTTAGTTCTCTATGCAAAATATTATCACTTCAATATGTAATTAATATAAAATTATTATATTTCACATGCTTTTTAAAATTTCATCATCAAGACCCAATTTGTATTTCGTATCTAGGACATCTCAGACCAGCTGCATTTTAAGAGCTTAGGAGCCACTGATGGCTCGTGGCCACCATATTGGGCCCCAGTAAAGGCCTAATGGGCCATGGATTCTTTTTAGAACCAACTTCCTCACAATAGTTACATTTTATTTTTCTTGCTCTTCATAGATGAACAAGGTCCTTTGCTTGTATAGAAATGAATTTGGTTTTAGCTTGGGAATCATAGCAAACTGACAGTTTCTGTAATAAAACTTCACACATGGAAACTATGGTGAGAATCTTAGCAGGTGTAAAAAATCTGACGAAGTTATTTCTTTAACTGCAACTTAATGGAAACTGCAGCAGCTGTTCCCATTCGTGTGTTTTCCAAAGATCACTGGCAGAATGAATTGTTGGCAAGGCACAGGAGAAGTATCAAGTTACCTCTTCATTTGGGAAATGAAATTAAAGCCTCCGCTTATTTCTAAAAGTCACAGACTTGGTGAAAGTTAACAGGGCAAACACATACGCTGCTATTAAAATATTGACGGCTTTGGTTTTCCTTAGGTGCTGCTGCTAACATCTGCAGAGGACTTGGACTGCACGCCTGGATTTCAGCAGAAAGTATTCCATATCAGTCAGCCAGCTGAATTCATTGAGGACCAGTCAATTCTAAACTGTAAGCAATGTCACTCGCAGATACTTTTGGCCTCGTCTCATATTTGAATTTATTAATGTCTATGAATGTGTTTCATGATACGATTTTTCTAAACTAAGTGTTTTCTGATTATATTTTTTCTTTCACTGTTGATTGACCCAAGCTGGAAGCTCTTGAATCAGGGACTTGCCAGCTTAGAGGTTAGTAGGGTGGTATTAACCTTTTTTAGAATTTTATCAGAGGTGGGTATTTCCAGACTGTTCGCAGAAAAGGAGGGTGTTGGCCTCCAAAGTGAGTTCTACACTGTTCAAAGGAAATGGAACCTATTTTCCTGGGCAGATCTCCAGGAGCTAAACCGTGGCATTGCTGTAGACTGCTGTTCTCCCTAGAGATTCTCATGCACAGCATTAGATCAAAATGATGGTGAGAACACATGATATTGGCTTCTGGGAATTCTTAGACTTAGGAATCAAATACACTCTGAAGGCTAATAAGATGGTCTTCAGAATGATTCAGAGTCTCTACTGGTTATTTGTGGATTAAACTCAAATCCTGTAAAATTCCGATTGATTTCCTTAAAATAGGCATCCCTCTTATCTGTGGTTATGATCTCTTTGTATTTTTAATACTAATATTATTTTATCTTTAAGAAGTCATAGGTTACATTGCTAAATGTATAACATGCACAGTTCTGGCACAGAGTATAAATTGTGTCTTAACACAATAATTAAGTAAACGAGATGAGGTATATATTAACCAGTATGATGTAAATGCTTTTAATTCTATATGAAATCAGCACATTGTACCCCATGAACACATAAGGTATACATGATCTATGCGTTTATGATTTAATAAAAAAATGAAATTGATAATAGATGAATAATCATTTAATTTTAGACTCCTAAACACCAGTTTTTAACATTTGAAATGAAGGATATGAAAATAGTGATTTAGAAAAGCAGGAAATAGTGATGAAATTTGTTCAGATATGGTAAGGTGTTTGTTTTTTTTACTGAGTCATTTGTACATAGATCATAGATACATTTATGCCACTATGGGATTCAATGTGTTGTCTTTTTAAGGAAGGTAGTTGCACATGTGCCCTGTGGCCTGGGGTTGCCTTCCTGGCTAGCCATATTGTTGCACTTCTATCTGTGTGGCTGTTAAGTTTCATGAAAAGAAGGGGGATAAAAAGCAGATTGCTTGATTGGATTATTCCATGAAGCTGGGACACATTTTAAGAGTTGGGGAAAAAGACAGTAATAAAGATACTCTTGAGCATCAAAGGAGCTGTCCAAGGTGAAGATCAGGTCCGTCTTGATGCAATTACGTCAATGAAGTCATTTCAGTAATTAGAGTCTGTGATGACAAGGTACAGGACTGTCATAATAAGTGAATTCCAGCATGTGATTTCCTGTTAATTTGATCTGAGTATGGCTTCTGGGTCAGGCCATCATGCACCTTTGTTTGTCTTTAGATTCCTGTACTTATCAGAATCAATATATTTCAAGCAGAACTTGGTTTGTGAGAACCATCTTTCTGGCTCTCCTCTCCCTTGCCTCTCCTCTCTCTCCCTCTTTCTTCCTGTTCTTTTTTTGTTCCAAATTATTATCCCAAATGGCATCTATGTTAACATGCTTGGAAATGTGAAGCCACCCCGAGTATGGAAATTAATAGAGTTGGTATGCAAAGCAGGCCCATAAATGTGATTGCTTCTGTAATCTTCACGACACCAAACAGCTTTTAATTCACTGCTGAGAAGCTGGAAACAATCATACTTTGGGGGATCTTTTTAATTTAAACTAGGCCATACTGTACATTCCAATATCACAGTTTTGTATGTGTGTGTGTGTGTGTTTAATCCCCTCAGCAATTAAGTAGGTTATGGTTGTTGGTTTTGTGTAAGCTAGTAAATGCTAAATGGGACTAGGTTGATTATCAATGATAGCATATTCAGGAAAAGTCAGTGACATGAGAATTGAGGACATTTAAAATTTTTATGCTTGTGTGAGCTGTCAGGTCAGCGAAATTTGATTAGTGCCTCTTTAATAAAGCTCTATGTACCTCTATTCTTGTGTAGGATACAAAGAACAGGTCAGGTGAGGTACGCCGAAGCTCATCTCAAATCAATGAACACAGATTGCTATAAGGGTAGACCCTGTGGATGAGGTTAATTGTGCCTAAGTGAAGAAAACATATTTCAAATATTTGAGAATGCCTATTAAATGTTGTTTTAGAAAATCTGGATTTCCAGAAATAGCAGCAGCAATGCTTAGCTCTATTCCACTTGCAAAAGAAAATTAAGAAGGCCAAAATGTTGAATGGGCTTCTCTTCTCAAATATTTAAAGCTAGTGTCTGTCTCTCTATCTATCCCTCTTCCCTTCCCTCTCTCCCCCAGTTCTCCCTCCCTTTTCTCTTAATCTCAATTTTTAAAAAGTAATTTCCTTTTGATTCAATACAAAACCCTTCACTCTCTAAATACGTATCAACCAAGAAACCAATGAGTGGTTTCTGCTCTCAGAATGAAGGTGCTGGTGACCAGCTAACATCTGAATGACAAACAAAAAGACTCAAACCGAACTGGAAGGTTTATCAGTGCTTAGATGCCAGAGATCCGGGAAATAGTTAGGGATGTTTTAGCAGCCTATAAATATGAGTTGATATTGTCAGTTGTGATCAAGGTTAAAAAACCTAAGCTAGTAGTATTATAGCATTTACATTTTTCCTTTGTCTTTGCAATGTTTAAGAGCTTTGGTTACCAGCCATTGTGAAGTTTTGCGTTGTAGGAGGTATGAACATGGTCTTGTCCATCAACCGCACAGCATCTGTACTGTTTGCCATTCTGTAAAGTTGTCTGAGGTTGCCGTCTCTTTGTCTGGCAGGCGCTATATATCTGCTCATACCCTAGACTTGTATCCAACCAACTCGGTGTTCAGCTTTTAGCAGCTTGTATGAAATGTTTATTCTGTGGATGGCTTCCTGCTATCTTTGTTCAGACAGTAATATCTCCTTTTATCCTTTTTCATTTTCCTCTTCAATTTCCAATGACTTATCTTTTTCTGCTTTAAGTGTTACTAATGGTCACCTTCACTCCTTTTATTTCCCTAATATTTTATTCACTGTTCACTCCGATACATCTTTCTCTCAGTTGTTCTAAAGCCTTTTATTTTCTTCACATCCAAATAACTCTTTATTCTACTCTCCTTTCCACTAACTAGACTTGCTTTCGACTTTAAAGGGCCATTTTTCAACAAGCTGCTAGGATCAAAACAGAGTATCCCAGTATTTCTTCTAATGTAACCAGGGGAGCCCTTTCATTTTATCTTTCACGGCGTGATGCGAAGCCCCCAACTCGTGACAAGTTGGGCAAAACTTTGTTGGCTTCATCTCAGTTTTGAAAGCTTAGCTGGGAAGATGTGGTCATTCCCATTTTTCAGTGAGAATTATGAGACAAAAGGAGAAGACAGCTTAGAAGGCAGCAACTCTACCTGCCAGTGGTGACTTAAAAAACAAAAAGCCGCAACTCAGGAGGGAAACATCCCTTCCAGGTCTTTGGACTCAGGGAGGAATCTGTAAAGGGTTTATGGGAGGGGTTCCCTAGACGCTTGACCCCCAGAACTCTCCCAAATTGCCTGGTGTGGGAATTCTCGCTTCTCCTAAAATCATGAGATTCTGGTAGTGTTGGACAGCAACCCCAGAGTAAAAGACTCCTCAGACTTAAAAGAATAGCTGCCCTGGACAGCTGATCAGCCACCCAGCAGGGGTGGGACAGTGCCAAGTGAGGAATCATGACTGCCTCATGTTCTTCAAAATTATAAAGCAGAAAATTCTACTCTGCCCCCATCAGCTCAGACAGACCTTTCTGGCATGTGAGGGATCTGTGGTCTTGGGGTTCACCAGGAGAAGCCACACTCATGACCTTCCAGCCTGTATTAGTAGGAGTGTGTTCAGCCTCCAGTGTCTGGAAGGAAGACCCTATTGGCTACCCAGCCACTATTCAGGATTATACATTTCTTTCCCCTTGGGCATTACTTATGAGACACTCTTCTTGGGCCTCACACAAAGACACAGACAGAAGATATAGAGACCCAAATTGCCACACCTAAGTTTACCTGCAACACAGCCTATAAAATCACACCTTCTGTCATTACTTAGGATAGGTGAGGCCACACTGAGGTACCACACAGCCCCACCCACATGATGCAGACGCCAGTCAAGTTCCTGCCTTGGGGAACTCCCCTCCACATGGGTGCTGTCCATGCAGGAGCCTGAGAACCCAGACTACATCCAGCTGGGTCCTGCTACCTTGTGGTTTCTAGTATCTTCTATCACTGAGCTGGTGGGCGGGCACAAGAAAGAATGTGGGGAAGGTACCCCAGATGCTAAATTACCTCAGCTCGACACTGACATATGTTATTTCTGTTCACGTTCTGTTGGCAGACCTGGTCATGTGGTCAGTCTAACTGCCAGAGAGGCCGGGAAATGTGCAGGAACACAGGCATGTCAGTGCCTGATCACCAACTCTACGTAGAGCTTAACAAAATAATGTTGACGTTGCCCAACAACGTCAAAAAAGAGACTCCTAAAGCAGCCCTCTGGCTCAGTGGGTAGGGCGCCCGCCCCATATACCAAGGGTGGTAGGTTTGTACCCAGCCCCAGCCAAACTGCAACAGAAAAATAGCCGGGTGTTGTGGCAGGTGCCTGTAGTCCCAGCTACTCGGCAGGCAGAGGCAAGAGAATAGCCTAACCCCAGGAGCTGGAGGTTGCTTGAGCTGTGACACCACAGCACTCTACGGAGGGTGATAAAGTAAGACTCTGTCACTAAAAAAAAAGAAAAAAAAAGAGAGAGAGAGAGAGACTCCTGAAAGAGATAAATAGAACACAGAGGAGGTGACTGGGCTTATGTAGGATGAAGTTTGACAGTTTAAGCAGTTTAGGTTGGTGCCTGTGCCTATGGCCTGCTTTTCTTGGTGAATGATGCTTCCCACTGAGGAGGGTGGCTTCTTCCCTGCTCCCTCTT